TTTATTTATTTATTATTTATTTATTTATTTATTTATTTATTTATTTATTTATTTATTTATTTGTGTGAGCCATGGTACATATGTAGGGTCTCTCCTTCCACCATGTGGGTCCCAGGTACGAAACTCAGGTCCTCAGTCTTAGTGGCAAGCACCTTTACCCACTGAGCCATCTCACTAGCCCCAAGCTCTCAACTCTTTACACAGAGATGTTCTCAGAGAGTTTACAGGATCAAGGGTGATAGTGCCACTAGAGGGCAGGGGCTTCCCTCCACTTCATCTGTCCCTAGCTTCTCAAAAATGTGTAACAGGGCATTTGAAATGGCAGAGGGGAAAGGCACTTGCCTTGAGTTTAATTCCTAGAACCCATCATAGTGGAGAGAACTGACTCCTGCATGTTGTCCCCTGACCTCCATATATGCACCATAGCACATGTTCACCCCCATATACATACATACATACACATACATACATACATAAATGTAATTTAAAAATCTTCTAACAATTGATAGGGGAAATCAGACCCAGAAAGGTGTGATTAGGGTGAAGGAGCCTGGTACAGAGGGATGCAGGGCAATGCTGAAATCATGCCTGACTTTTGCTTCTTTTTCCATTATAGGAAACTGACTATATCATGTCATATTTTGACAATGGAGAGGACTTTGGAGGTGACAGTGATGACAATATGGATGAGGCAATCTACTGAAAAAGGCACTAGAATCACCCTGGGCCCCCCGTCTTTCTTGATTTGAGAAATAGGGGCTAAGTGTCCCTGTTATTTAGAGTTGTTGTTGTTGTTGTTGTTGTTGTTGCAGGGTCTCTTGATAGTACAGGCTGATTTTGAACTCACTGTGTAGCTGAGGCTGGCCTTGAACTCCTGATCCTCCTATTTCCACCTCCTATATCATGGGATTACAGGAGTCTACCACCACACCCAGCTTTCTATTATTTACTTTTGTGGAAAAAAAATCATTTGGTCAGAGTCCAGATGACTATGTGTTCTCTGGAAACCAGAATGGAGAGCAATGACATACAGCTGCCTTTTCTACCTCCTCCCACCCTGTATCACCCTTCATGTAATGGGGAAAGAAGGAAGGACCAATGCCAGCATAGCATGAAAACTGTTGAAAGTGTCACTGAGTTGTTCAAGCTGAGACAGCTGTATGTACCCCTTTACCCAGTTTTTACAAGCTTTGTGGGCAACACTTGGGGGGTGGGAACAGTGAGGAGTAAGACCTGTTTTATATTTTTAAATAAAATGTTTTTATGTGTCTGTCCAGGATGAGTTTTGTTGGGAAAGGATTAGAGGAAGGACTGAAGCCGATGCCCAGCTGACCTTTTCTTTACTTCCCATTCCTACCCGAGTCCTGGGGATTGACCTACAACCTCACACATGCTAACCAAGCGCTCTACCACTGAGCTCTAGCCCCAGCTCTTTTTATATTAAAAAAAAAAAAGTTAAGGCAGGATCTTGGTAAGTTGTCCAGATTGGCCTTGAACTAACTCTAAAGCCCAAACAGGCCTTGAACTGTCTCAGCCTCCCCAGTAGCTGAGTTTACAGGCCTGTGTCACTTGCCAACAACCCTCTTTACCTGTCCAGGGTGTTACCGGGTTATAGCCTTTTTGTCCTTTATCTTTTACCCTTATAGTGGGACACATAATCTTGCCTTGCCACAGAATATTCAGGAATTGCCACAGAATACTCAGGAACTCATTTGCAGGGCTGTTTGAAAGAACTGTAGAAGAAAAACAGCCCACTGGTCTCCCACATACCAGCTGACTACCCAGCCTGTGGCCTCCAGCCATGAGGACCTGATCCTCTCTATTCACACATGTTCACAAGGACACCAGCCCGCTGTTTCTCACACCTGACCTTGATCATGTCCTTATTTACTAAGAATGACTGCAACTATTTTTGTACAGAGAGTCAAGAAAGCAAGCAGCAAGGACAGGAGTGACTCACTGTTATTCAGTATACATAGTTCTCTTCAGGGGCCTGGAGACCCCACTTTGAAAGGCATATTTAGGGAATTCCTTAAATATCCTATTCTCCACGTGCAGAGCCAGTATGTGGCTTGCAGTTTCTCTTCGGGTTCTTTCCTTTGTGGAATTTAATTAGCCTTTCTCACTCCCTACTTTGGTGAGGGGGGTAGGCGGTTGTTATCTTGCAGGAAGGAGGGTGGAGAGGAAGGGCGTGACTGAGGGACACTCTTAGCTCTTCTAGAAGCTTTCTCGCCCACACAGCAATCCCTCAGGTGAGGTCACTTCCCTAGGCTCTGGTTGGCTTCTGAGGAAGCCTTATGAGCTGATTGGTTGCAAGCACTTGCCAGGCAGCAGCCACGGGTAAGCTTCGTGTCCAGAACAAGAAGTGAGTAAGAAAGACATACCTAGATGTTTGGGGGACTGTCTACTGAGCGTTTCAAAGTCCTAAGATAGGTTGTGGGAGAAGCTTCAAGAAAGTTCTCACTCCACCGTTGGGCTAAAGACCCACTGGTCAGGTATTTCCTACTCCATTGTACATGGTGAAGACCAGCATGGCTCTGTTGAGGGAAATAAAACACCTTCAAAGCCTAGTTTAAGTGTTAAGCCAAGAAAACGGAGAAGGAACAGGAATAGAAACCGAACATTCCAGAGTTATTGAGCAATTTGTGATGATTAATGTGCTTCCTTTTCCGGCTGAGTTGTGTGAGTGGAGGAGGTTGGTGGGGCAGGGGACTTGTCACCGGGGTTTCCCACAGTTCAGCTTCAGTTCGTGGTTGATTAGAGGTAGGGAGAGAACAACAAAAAAAGTGAAAAATCCTTAAAAGTTTGCTTTTGCCTATCTCCCTTGAGAGACCTACCCAGGTCAATTATATATCAGTCTGTGTTGGGGAACACACCCATCCACTAAACCCCACCTAATGCTGGTCTGGATACTTCCAGAAACATCTTTATGGAGGCTGGACAGATGGCTTAGCAGTTAGGAGCACTGGCTGCTCTTGCAGAGGACCCAGGTTCAGTTCCCATCACCCACATGGTGACTAGCAACTGTCTGTAGCACCAGTTCCAGGAGATCTGACACCCTCTTCTGATCTCCGTGGGCATTGCACAACACAGGTGCACTTACATACAGGCAAAACGCTCAAACACATAAAATAAGAATAATAAATAAATTTTTTTTTTGAAAAAAAAATATTTAAAAAGTGGGAACAAAGATTCTGAACAGCAGGCTGTAGAGGAGGACTGGAACCATGTCCCCACCCTATCTCTCTCTCTCTCCTACATCCTTTTTCTCATGAAACAAGAGAAAGGAGGACAAAGGTCGGAATGACCACTTGGGATCAGTTGTACTGCCTCAAAGACAAATTGTCATAAAGACTAGGCCATTCTTGGGCTCTGCCCTGGCTGGACTCCTGCCTTTCCTGGCAGGTGACCTTGCTGGACAAAGCCAGTGACATGAGACCCAGCAGCTTCCCCAGAATCCAGATCAGTTCCAGGTATGATCTAAACTATTTCCATTGACCTTTCCCCAACCTACTGTCAGTACTATCTGACAGGCAGTGGCTGAAGCTTAAGTCCAGGAGACAGGCTCAAAGCTATTCTTCCCTTTTAGAGACACACCTTACAGGTTGAGGCCCTGCTTGCAAACATTTATAGAGGACCCATTCGGTATTTGCCATCCATGTTTTTCATGCTTATTAGGGATGATTTATGTTGTTGAAATTGTTCCCAAGCTCCCTGATTGGCTATAGAATAGGTTCTATGGCAGGAATCCCATCCTGCCTGACCTATGTTCCATTCTTACCCTCATGGGCCTCACCTACTTGGGTAAGGCATGTGATAATGGGAGTCTGCCATTGGTGTACAGATTCAAATGGTTTGAGGGAAGTCAGAATAGAGATCTGGATGCAACATGAGAGTAGAAACCAAAGAAAACTGGAGAGTCAGAGGTCAAGTGGATAGAGTGGTTAGGCACCTGTGATTTGGTAAGGAAAAGATAGCTGGCTTCTGCAACTCATTTTTATGGCTGTTGAACTTTGAAAGTAAAGAAGGGTGGCTTGTAGATGTAGGCTGAGCAAGAGCCACAAGGAGGTGGGGCTAGGGATGTAGCTCGCTTGGTAGAGTGCTTGCCTACCATGCATGAAGTCCCAGGTGCTATCTCTAGCACCACACAAACCTAAGCCTAGTGGCACATGCCTGTAACCCTCGACTACATAGTAAATTTGAGGCCAAGCTGAGGTATGTGAGATGCTGTCTTAAAAAAAAAAAAAGGAACTGGAGAGAATGCTCAGCAGTTAAGAGCACATGTTGCTGGGTTGGAGAGTGGACTCAATGGTTAAGAGCACTGACTGCTCTTACAGAGAACCCCGGTTCAATTCCAAGCACCCACATGGCAGCTAACAACCCTGTGTAACTCCAGTTCCAGGGGATCCAACACCATCTTCTGACCTCCACAGGCATTGTACAACACAGGTACGCTTACATGCATGCAGACAATACACTCACACACATAAAATAAAATTAATAAATCAAATTTTAAAAAGTGCCCATGCTGCTCTTGCAAAGGACCCAGGTTCGGTTCCCAGCACCCATATGGGAGTTAACAGCCATATGTAACTCCAGTTCTAGGGCATCCAACTCCTTCTCACATGGTGCATTTGCACACATGCAGGCAAAACATTGATACACATAACTTTAAAAAAATTTTTAAAGACCTAAGTTAATGGGAAGGATTGCTATCTCAGATAGTCAAAGCATTGTTCCGTTGCCCTTAGCTTTCCTGCTCCCATCATCTTACACCCTTGAGAAAGTCATGTCAAGACACCATGCTTAGAGGAGGCAAAGGCAGGTGGATCTCTGTGAGACTGAGTTCGGCCTGGCCTACATAGCTAGTTCCAGGTCAGCTGCGGCTACAGGGAGACCCTATCTCCAAAAACAGTCTTTGGATGACATGTTCACTGAGAGCCCTTTTACTCTCACACAAGAGAGCCAATGTTGAATCACTTGCAGAAGTCCAAATGATTCAAAGGTTGGATGTGTCCAGATTTTGCTGAGCTCATTCCATCTTCTGGATTCTCTCACTTTATTTTCAGCCCATCCAGGCTAAGGATACCTCAGGCATGTCGCCAATCGTTTCCAAGAAGCTTTTTAGCCAGAGTAGCCAGGAGATAAGCAATTCCATCAACTAGCAAGAAAGGAGAAAACCCCTGCAGCCCAAAGTTCAAGGTCACAACCTGCAAGTCAGGACTCATCAAACATTCCACCAAAGAGTTAGGACTGAAGAAGGGATTGGTGATGCAGGTCCTATCTCTCTGTCCTCAAATATGTCTGGCTAGAAGACAGAGGAGATAAAATGAGCTAGACAGGAATAGTTTAGTTAGGTAATCTGGCCAAGCTAATGATGACCTTTTCTCTACTGACTTTTTTCCCCTACTGAGGTCCATATTTCCCCAAGGTCATTTTGAATCACAAATATGGAAATTCGAAATCCCAACATGGAATTCTAGTTTCTAGTATTATCACAAAGAAGAAGGCTTTTTCCACTTAAATAGGACTTGTCTGTGTCACCTGTGTAATCAGAACAACCCCAGTGTCTCTGTGTCACCTGGGTAACCAGATCCAACCCTAAACCCCAGGACCTGAGAGGTTAAAGTGCTTGTCTATCACCTTGAGAACACAAGAGGATGGAGAAGGAATCCAGGGATTCCTCAGACCAAGTATCCATTATTCCAGAAACCATGACTATTTTCTATTCTCAAGCCTCTCTTCCCTCCTAGGATTATCAGCTACAGGCAGTGCTCCCTAAAGCCTAGAACCATGCCCTTCCCTGAGTTGCCTCTGTCCCCAGCACTCTGTTACTCTCATAACACCTAGAATAGGAGGGACAAGTTAGACCTACGTGTGTATTTTTTCGTTTTGTTTTTATTTCATTTTATTTATTTATTTTGTGTTGGGGGGATGTTTGTGCCACAGCCTATGCATGGAGGTCAGAGGACAACTTGCAGGAATTGATTCTCTGCTTCTACTATATGGGTCCCAGGGATTGAACTGGTTTTCAGGCTTGGTGGTTGGTGCCTTTACATGATAAGTCATTTTACTAGTCTCTTGCTTTGTTTGTTTTGGGACTTTTTGTTGTTTCTTTGGGGGAGGGGGGTTGAGGCAGGGTCTCAGATAGCCCAGGCTTGCCTCAAACTTGACTATTTAGACATTGAATTCCCAACCTGCCTCCATCCCCCAAGTAACAGGTATGCAATACTACTTCTGGCCTTTTTGTTTTGGGTTTTGTTTTGTTTAAGAC